ATGGGGGGCAGACTTCTTATTAGCCTCTTGAAGGTGAGGCTGTGTAGACACATTAGAGGCTACATAGTTCATAAAAGCAGACAGCTAGGACTGCTTAGGAAATAATTTCACAACAGCAGAGGAAATGACTGAGGTAAGCTGAGAAGAAGAGGTGGAAAAGGAGATGTCTCTGGGAGAAGGGTCCTTCAACACCCTACACTCATGCAAGATAGGAGGAAAGGGAGACACATTGTCTAATGGCAAAGGCCTTATAGAACCACTTACTCTGGACCTATGTAGCCAGGGTCTAGAGTGGATGCCCTTACCAACGAGGGACAAGTAGATTCTAGAGCTAAAACCTGACAAGCCAAGACCCGGATGGATTTTACAGGCACTGAGCCTTTCAGGAAAATGCTGTCCACTAGAATCCCTGAAGCTTACCCTCTTCTCAAGGAATATCCCACAGTGGTGATGCCAGCAAAAGCACTAGGCCTAACTCAGAGTTCAGGCTCTGAAAATATCAGGTATACCTGTACAACACCAATGATACAGATCCCTGATTGGGTGAGGGACAGTCATGGCTGGTCCCTGACAATTTAATGAGATAGAAGGTTCCTGTGGAGAGAGGAGACACTGAAGGGTACTGTTTATCACTTGCAAACTAGTAGGTTACGGGGAAAGGGAATCAGTCTGAGATAGAGAGAGGTGGTCTGGACAGGGCCCTGCTCCAGAACCCTAGCTAACCTAGGGTCTGGAGCAGGGTTCCAGGAGTGAGAGGAATCAGGGGAGGTGCAGCAATCAGTGTGAGAGAGTTCTAGGAACAAGGGAATCAGCAGATGTGCAGCAATCAGTGTGAGAGAGTATCAGAGACCAGGAACTAGCCCAAGGACCCAAAGAAAAAAAAAATTTAAACATGGCAGCATTTTTAGATGCTCTATTCTGGGACCCTCCAGCAAGGAAAAAATCCTACATAGTTCTCTTTGTTTATGAGAGGGCTGAACAGATGTAGTTGCCATAATTAACCCTGTCATTACTGTGCAGGTAGATCTTCATTATAAGTTGTACCAAGATTTGAACACTGCCTGTCCTAACACAAGGAATGGGTTTAAAACCTAGGCATTTTGTATGGTAACAAAGACAGAGTTAGGACAGACTCTCACGTTGTTCAAAAAACCACGCAGTCAGTCATGAAAACTTCTGAGAAACATGAAATAGGAAAGAAATATTTTTTTTCAAAACATTTTTTAGGCATGCTGTTTTTAGGCATGCTGTAACAAATATTAAACATATAATGGGGTTTTCACAAATTTGACTATAAAATTGTAAATACACTTTCAGGAGGGATGCCAACTGCTGATTAGTAGACCACGCCCTCCAGCTGCCAAGGGGTGTTTCTGTTAAGATGAGTCACTGGCAGATCCATGTATGCATCCATTCTACTAATCAGCAGTTGTTGTAGGCAACCACTTAACAAATACCCTCTTGAAGGGCGTCATATGGGCGTTTAGCTGCATACACTCAATTCCATTGGCAAGAATCAGAGGATTCTTGCAGCTGGAATGAAAGCTACATGCGAATAGTGATGGCTGCTCAGCCTGCACAAACTATTGATAGACTAACAGCAGCTGTCGCTGTTTGGGTATGGCTGCACACCAAGAGGATATCTGTGGTTAGGGATGGGTTTCTAAGTTTGGAAGCAGTCAGATGCATGGCAGGAAATGTGAAAGGTACCCAGCAGTGCTATAGCGAGGTAGTTCCTTGTGCTTCAGCTCACCTAGTCTTACGCACAAAGTGCCACAATGCAGAGCCCAGGGCCTGGAGTCATGTTCAATTCTAGCCCTGCAGCTTCCAGTCTGCGAGGCCTGGTAAGACCTTCAAAGCTAGTACTGAGGAAACAATGACTCATATAGCTGTGATATAGAGACCAGTTGGAGCAGCAAAGTCATGAGGAATCTTGAGTCACTAAGGAAAAAACTCCCAAAAATGAGAAAAAAATACTTTTCTTGAGAACACTAACAAAAAAAAAACTGAGGCATGCTGACAGGAAGAGGGGTTACCCTGGGCTAGCCCACAATTTTTTTGGTGGCCAGTGTCCATTCCTTCTGTAGATGGTGGTATAACCTGGAAGTATCGGAATAATTTCTCTCTTCCTTAATGGACAAAAAAAGTTTACTTTTACTGTCTGAGGCTGGCAGACTGATAGAGACAAGCAATGGTGAATGATTTGAGCTTTAATGGCAACAAATGGGTGCAATGAGATGTGGCCAATAAAAGTCTCCAATCCTAGGGGAGTGAGCAGCATGCAAAATGCTTGAGGAAACAGACTTTTCATAACGTATTCTTGATGAGAAATCCACTAATTTATTTTAACCCTGCCATCTTTAAAAATGGCAACTGAAGCACCTACAATGTTCCTATTTCTTTGTACAAATTATGATTAGAGCAATAGAATTCTGTATCTTATAGATAAACAATGTGTTTCATTATCGGGGAATAAAATACAGAATAAGCAGCTGAATCTACTTGGTTACTCCATGCTTCATGAATTCTAGACTCAGTGCATGACTCCCAGTTTGGTGGCTTTGGTCCATAACCCTTGCCTAAGGGGCCATGTCTCTTCATCTAATCTCCATACAAAAATATAGATGTTAACTACCCTTTATACTGTATTCTTAAACAATCCTGTTTAATCATTTTTACTTTTCTTCCATACATTAAAAGGAAGGCAGACCTGCATGACAGTATTGTAGGGGTTAAATAAGAATACATCCTTTTACTTTACCATTATTTCTTCCCAGCAGAAGGAATAGTTTTGTGTTGCCAGAGTCTTCCCACATACACTGTGTTGCATTATGCATACCATTATGCTAGTGAACCCACTCTGCCAATATTTGGTTGGGATAACAAACAGTTTGCGCTATTAAAATACAACCTTCACAACACACTTTCAGAAATATTTTGGATTTGAGCATTATAATTAATCCTGCTGTTTGACCCAAAACTGATATTTTGGCCTGGGTTTTAGCAATTTGAACCTGTTTTTTGGACTTTAGGGACATGACTGCAAATTCTCAGATTACAAGTTTTGCTCCTGCTGATGCTGATGGAAATCTTACTAGAAGACTTTTCTACATATCATACAGGGGGAGCTGTAACTCTCATAAATAAATGCAGCTGGTGCAATATTCCGTGAATCTCAACTACCAGAGTTGCTGGATCAAAACTTCTATATATAGAACCTTTTTTAATTATGAACATGCAGCAACAAACTACCAAAGCAGATACTAAAACTGTACTGACAGACATTCATCTGCTGTAGGATTTGAGCTATTCTTTAGCAGACATGCACAGTGTGCACCTTCCTTCATGAGACAGTTTTTGGCTAATTGAGGGTATGATGGCATTCTCTTCTTCCCTTTTCAAAGCTGTTCCATGGATTCTGCCAAAAGCGTTTCTGATTAAATGAGGGATTAAGCACATTTACATGCACCCATACCACAGCAAGCACAACTGTCATATAAAAGGTATATAAAAGTGAACACAGCACAAGCACGAAAAGGCACACTGACAGAAACTCCAGAGTTCAGCTTTATTTAACGGACGGGGGGGGCACCCACCACATACTGATTTTTGCCATCTTATAGTGGAACTGAACTTAAAAAGTGAAGTTTTGTTATGGTAGGCAATGGTGTTAAACTCAATTTTATTGTGGGCTGCATCAGCATTATTGTTGCCCTCAAAGGACCCGGTGGTGTAAGTAAGACTAGATGACCAGAGCACCCCACCCCCTCTTACATCAATTCAAGAGAAGTCAAGAGTCCCCCACCCTCTCCTACAGTGCAGTGACCCCTCCCCCCGTGCTGCTGCTGGGAAGAATTTGGGGGGGGGAACTGGGAAGTATAAAAGCAGAAAGTGCAGGGTCTGGAGGACCAGAGGAGGGCTGGAGTCAGCTGCCAGAGTCAGGGGAGGTGAAGATGATGGAGAACTGCAACTGCAAAGAGAAGCACAGGATCTGCAGGAGGACTTTTGTCCTCCTCTCTGCTGTCGGCTGCTGAGATGGGAGGGGGGGCAGAGACATGCTTCTCCTTGGCTGCATGGAGAAGAGCAGGATCTGGTGAGCACCAGCGCCTAGTACATCCTGGTCTTTCACATACCAATACTGCAGCATCACTTGGTGACATGGCGAGTCCCATAAGTGCAGTACAAGCTGGTGCGGTGGCTAGCACAGGTATTGTCCCGCAGCCACCAAGAATTTGCACACAGGCCCATAGAGCCCCTCTACAAGCCCCCAGATGTGCTTGCAAATCCCGATTGGCAGCTCAAAAACTCTGCAGCACCCGTACTTCTCCCATTCACTGCCCAACCAGGAATTCAGGTGGAAACAGCAAATTGAACACACCCCTTGATTTTTTGGAGCTGTTTTTCACGGAAGGTCTGTATGCATTGATTATGGATCAAAGCAATTTATATGCACAACAGTTTATCGCTGGCAACTCAAATTCAAACCTTGCCAGATCATTCGCATGGAAACCCATTACGGTTTCTGAATTTAAAGTTTTTTTGGGCATAACCCTTAACAATGGCATTACCAAAAAAAAATGAATTGCGGTTGTATTGGTCCACACACCCAATTCATCATATGGCCGTGTTCTCTGCTGCCATGGCCAGGCATAGATATGAGAGTATAATGTGTTTTATGCATTTCAACAACAACACACTCTGTCGTCCTCAGGGTGACCCTGAATTTGACCGGCTCCACAAAATTCGACCCCTCGTAAATCACCTTAACCAAAAATTTGCAGATGTCTATACTCCCCAGCAAAACATCTGCGTTGATGAGTCCCTCATTAATTTTTCTGGCCGCCTTGCATTCAAACAATTTCTCCCCAGCAGTGGTAGTTTGGGAATTGGTGTCATCCTTTTTCCATATGGAGTACCACTTATACATGGATAATTTTTATTCAAGCGTGCCACTATTTAGACATTTGTACAATCTCGGAATTGGCACATCTTGCACCATGTGGCTATCATGCACCTGGTGATGGAGACCAATGGAGAGAGGGCTTCCCTTGCAGCTAAGTTCCAGACTCCCCTGAGAGTGGGACAGCGGGAGTCAGGCCCAAAGTTGCACAGGTCGCCTGTAGGAGTGCTGGTTGGTGGTCCACTCAGAAGCACAGCTGGTGCATGGAGACGCCTGTGCGTGATATGTAAGCCTTCCGGGATTTGGATGTTTGTTGGTTAGTCAGTTCGAGCCAAGGTCAGGTAACGGCTGGGGAACAGAACAGACGTGGTCAGGTGGGATAGCCGAGGTCATACACGGAGGAGCAGACAGGTCCAAGTACAAGCCGGGTCGGAAACAGGAAGTCACAGGAAACAGGAACAAACCATGGGGAGCTAGAGATCATCCAGCAACCAGAGGAAGTGATGAGCCTCCTTATAAAGGCCGTCTGGCACCAGACTGAGGCTGATGTGTTCTTCTGCGGCCATGTAGAGTATTGGCAGAAACGCCAGATCTTCCAGAACTCCTGCTGTGGACAGGACCCTGACAGTGCCCCCCCCCAAAGGGCAGCCTCCGGATGCCCACCTGGGCCATCTTTTCAGGAAACTTGGAATGGAATTCTCGGAGAAGCCTGGGGGCATGTACGTTCCCTTTTGGTTCCCAGGAACTTTCTTCAGGTGGGTACACCTTCCATCTGACCAGGTACTGGATTTGTCTTCCCCGCCTTCTGCAGTCCATAACTGCTTCAATACCTCGTATTCCAGCTCCTCCCCAACTGTTATCGGCGGAGGAGGTGGTTCTACTCTCCCTGGAAAAGGGTCAGGAACAGCTGGCTTGAGTAGGGAGATGTGGAAAACTGGGTGGATTTTGTATGATTCCGGAAGGCACAGCTCAAACGCCACTGGATTGATTTCCCTCTTGATCCGGAAAGGGCCAATGTACCTTGGACCCAACTTACGTGATGGGCACGGGAGTTTTAGATTGGCAGCTGATAGCCGAACTTTGTCTCCAATCTTTAGAGGAGGGTTTCTCTCCGTTTCCTGTCGTAGTGTTTTTTTAATCAGCCTGGAATTTTAGTATAGACTCTCGGAGGATTTTACAGTTGTTCTGTAGCATGGAGAGTCTGTCCTGTACTGCGGGTACTGGTGACTGGTTTGTAGCAGAATGGACTGAATTGTTGTAGGCAAATTCTGCCAATGGGAGTAGGGATGCCCAATCATGCTGTGAAAAAGTAGAGAAGCATCGTAAATATTGCTCCAAAGTCTGGTTCGTTTGCTCCATTTGCCCGTTACTCTGGGGATGGTAGGCGGACGATAAGCAGAGTTCCACCTTCAGCCTTGCCTTGATACGATATTACTGGGCAGACCATGTAACCTGACAATCTCTTTAATGAAGGTTAGTGCAGTCTCTGGTGCAGATGGCGTACCCACCATTGGTAAAAAGTGGGCCATCTTGGATAGCTGATCCACTACGAAATCCACAATGAAATCCATTGCGACCATCACCCAGGGACGATTAGGAATGGGCAGGGGCCTCAGCAACCCCCAGGCCTTGGCTTTGTCTCCCTTGTTCCACAGACACACTGTGCACGACTTCACATAAGCTCTACAGTCATGATTCAGGTTGGGCCAACAGAAGGATCGCTGGATTAGTTCCATTGTCTTACGGGCTCCAAAGTGTCCAGCCAGTTGATGGTCATGAAAAGCCCTTAACACTTGAGACCTCACTTCTTGGGGTACAAAGATTTTTTCCTTGTGCCACAGAAGACCATCCTGCCTTATAAGTGAATTTTGTTCTGGTTCATGGCTTAGTGTAGAGGCTTGCTTGATTAAAGACTTTAGACTGGGTTGGATCAGCATAAAATATTGGGCTGACAAAATGGTGTTGGGGGAGAAGGACCATCGAGACGCATGGGTCTACACAGGCGTAGGTGTCTGCCAAGATGTGTAGGTGGCAGGGCACTAGGACCCAGGCGCACCCGTCGTCTTGACAGTACTAGGCAGGCACTAGGACCTAGGCTGCGCCCGTCAGGTGCAGGGCGGGCTATTTAAACCAGCTCTGCACAAACACTTGTTGCCAAATGGTCTTAGTATGCTGTTACCTGTGTTGTGAGTATCTTGATCTGGATTGTTTGACCTTGCTGCCTTCTCCTGTCCTGACCCTTGGCCTGCCTGACTCTGCTCCTGGATGTTCCCCTTTAAATCTGATCTTTTGGTATTGACCCTGCGTGTGACCCGACTATCCTTTGCCTACCGTTTTGTACCTCCCCGACCCGCTAGTTACCGACCCGGCCTGTATGACTCTGATTTAGGTCATCCATCCATCCCGCAGGGATCACTAGGCTCCCTCACATCAGACTCTTAGCCCCCTGGGGCTCCTGTCAGACTCCTCTACCCCTGTTGGAGATACCTAGCAGCTGCGACCTGGTACGGGAGCGCTCCAAGTCCATCCCCACCATCAGGGGCCCTGGTGAACAAGTGCTCCGGTGCTTAGACTCCGCACTCTGGGGAGGCTCTGCCAGGGGATTGATAGAGGTGCTGTTAGGCGGTCCGTTACAGCTCCTCTGGGTCTGGGAACATGCGGGAAAGGGCATCTGCCTTCCCGTTCTTGGATCCTGGGCGGTAGGTAATATGGAAGTTAAACCTGGAGAAGTATAAAGCCCATCTAGTCTGTTGAGGTCTTAGGTGCTTGGCGGACCTTAGATACTCCAGATTTTTATGATCTGTGAAAATCATAATGGGGTGGCTGTCTCCTTCCTTCGAAGGCTATTTTAATCGCCAACAGTTCAATATCTCCCACATCGTAGTTTCTCTCGGCTTGGCTCAGTTTTCTGGAACAAAAGGCTATTGGGTGAAGCAGAGCCTTTGGTCCCTGACGCTGGGAGAGTACAGCTCCTGTAGCAACTTCAGATGCGTCTACCTCCAGGATAAAGGGGAGTGTTGGATCTGGATGCTGTAACACAGGAGCAAAGGTAAATTGATCCTTTAATTGCTCGAATGCTTTTTGAGCTTCCTGGTTCCAGCAAAATCGTGTATGCTGGCGGGTGTGTTGAGTGATAGGGGCAATGACTGTGGAAAAGCCCTTAATAAATTTCGGTAAAAGTTTGCGAAACCCACAAATCTTTGGACCCCTTTCCTGTCTGAAGGTGCAGGCCAATCCAGGATAGCAGATACTTTCTGAGGGTCCATGGATATCCCCTCGGTGGAAATTTATGAGCCCCAGGACTGGATAGACTGCTTCTCGAACTCACACTTCTCCACCTTGGCATACAAGCCATGCATCCTTAGAGTGTTTAGCACTTTCCTAACGTGATCACGATGGATTTCCACTGAGGCAGAGAAAATTAGGATATCGTCCAGGTAGACGATCACAAAAAGGTCTAGGTATTCTCTAAAGATGTCGTTCATAAAATGTTGGAATGTGGCAGGGGCATTACATAGCCCAAACGGCATCACTAAATATTCAAAATGTCAGAAGGCAGTCTTCCCCTCATCTCCCTCTCTCATACGGACTAAATTGTAGGCCCCCCTGTAAGTCCAATTTAGTGAACACTCGGGTTGTTCGAAATCTCTGGAATAACTCGGGCACTAGAGGAAGAGGATACCGGTTTTTGATGGTGATTTTATTGAGTTCTATGTAGTCGATGCACGGTCTAAGAGACCGATCTTTTTTTCTACAAAGAAAATACCAGCCCCAGCAGGAGAGGAAGAGAGGCGGATGAATCCTTTAGCGAGATTCTCGTCTAGATAGTGCCAGAGAGCTTCCAGTTCAAGCTCGGATAATGGGAGAATTCGCCCAAATGGTATTTCTGCTCCTGGGAGGAATTCAATTGGGCAATCGTAAGACCGATGAGGAGGCAATGTATCGGCCTTCTTTTTATCGAACACATTGAGGAAGTCATGGTAGGTAGAGGGAACGAGTTGACTGGCCTCTGGTGAATGTTGGACTGAGAGACATACGGAAGAATTGGTGGGTGTAGGGGCACCACAGTGTTGTAGACAATATTCTAAAGAGAAGATGATTTTTTTCTTGGGCCAATCGATCTGTGGATTGTGGGCGTGCAACCAGGGCATTCCTAGGATAGCTGGGAACATGGGGGATCTGATCACGTCAAAAAATAATAACTCCTGATGGCCGGTGGTTGCAAGGATAGGAACGGTTTTCCTGGGTAACAGGTCCGGAACTCGGAGTAGTGCCATCCGCAAGTAAGCTGTCAAGTCTGTTTCTTAGGCAGAAGAGGGATGTGTAAGTCCTTGGCCAATTGGATGTCTAAAAAACAGCTACAAGCTCCTGAGTCAACAACTGCCCGCAACTTGACATCCCTTCCAGCCTCCTGCAATGACATGGGGAGAATAACATGGGTGGTCAAAGTCCCGGATAGCTGAAGGTATGATGGTGTGAGGGACCGCCGAGCAGCACCACTAGCACTCCACTGGTCAGGCGTGCCCAGAGCGCGGAGTCTAAGCCCCAGGGTACTTGTTCACCAGGGCCCCTGATGGTGGGGATGGACTTGTAGTACCCCGAGACCAGGTCGCCACTACTGAGCACACCTGTCAGTGGTAGGGGGTGTTCGCCAGGGGCTCCAACCAGGGAGAGCCAGATGTGAGGAGGTCGGGTGACCCCGATGGGATGGATGGATGGCTGAGCAAGTGTGAAGTCAGACAGGCCGAGTTGGTAACGTAGAGGACGGTAAGGTACAAGGGAGCAGGCAGAGAATTGTCGGGTCACACGCCAGGTCAGCAACAGGAGGTCAGATCTAATGAGGGGCATCCAGGGAGAGAGGTCAGGCAAGCAAGGGTCTGGGCAGGAGAAATCAGCAGGTCAAGAACAATCCGGGTCAATAAACTTACAAGGCACAGGTACAGAATCACAGGAAGCAGGTAAGACCAGAAGGCAATGAAATGACAGCTCAGGGACCTTTAAATATCCCGCCCTGCGCGCTGCCATTGGTGCCCAGCGGGCGGCCTCGGCTTCTATTGCGCATGCGCGAACTCGAACGCCGCGGCCGGCCCGGGACCTAGTGCCCGTGTACAGGGCGGAGCAGTGCGCCTGCTCCGGGACCATCGCGGCGGGGATCGAGGGGATCCCTGACATTGTGATCCCTGACATCCCTTAGTGATCCCTGACATTGTCCCCCCCTACGGGCAACCTCCGGATGCCACCCGATCTCTCCACCACGGGGTGATCACAAAGAAAC